TATAGTTGTATACGTTTAGATTTACAAATAAAACTTATTAATGAGAGACGAAATAATAAAAAATGAGTGTCATAATTATTATTTTTTATGAATAATTTATTGCTTTATCCCATGCATAGCACGGATCAAATGTTAGTATATATATGTGCGGGGGCGATTTACGCACTATGAAGAAGGATTGAACTTCGTGGATAAACAGCGTTCTTTCGGAATTGAAGATCTGCACAGAATAACAAACAGTGAGGCTGCCCGACCGGGGTTTGGTCGGAAACCCCTCCGATGGTAAAATCAGGGACTCAAGGAGAGGAATAAAAGAGAAAAAAGAATACTAAAAGTGTATATGTGTTGAGTGTGTGGATTTTCGAATCCCTTGAGAGTGAATAGTGTTCACCTTTTATAGAAAAAGGTTGTTTGCCGTTCAAGTCCTTCTCTCTCCGCCGTCTGTCCAATGTGTCTTATTCGTGGTCGTCTCCCATTGGAGGAGGACGACCACTCCGCCTAACACTTGGGTGCAGGTCTGTTTTGTTTGTCTCATTAGCGGACATCTCTCATTGGAAGAGGACGACCACTCCGCCTGTCATTCAGATGTAGGTCTGTCATATATGCACCTTATCCCTCTGCACCTCCATGTCTCCACGTTCTGTTCATACAGAGGGAGAGGAGCAGAGTTGTTTGTCTCTTGTGGGCCCAAGAAAGATCTTCAATGAATTGGCCTTCTTTGAGTTGGCCTACTCTAGACTGGTTGTCCAACCAGGAGGTCTAACATGTTCCTCAACCCACTTCGGAGTGGTTGTCTGTCCATCCAAGAGGTTCAACATGTTACTCAACCTACTTCGGAGTGGTTGGCTGCCCATCCAGGAGGTCTACCATGTTGCTCGGCCCACTTTGGAGTAACATTCGTACATTGGGCCGAGCTCCTATGATTGTCTTGCTTCGGAGCAAGTGTTGGCCATAGGGCCGAGGTCCAACAAGAATAATCTGATTAGTCATCACAACTCCTAAACTTCATGGGCAGTGGTGGAGGAGATAACGGCTTGGACTGAGGTCTAAGTTGTTGGAGATAATATCTTACCACTGTATAAATTTATTTATTTATTTATTTTATTATTTTTTTCCCTGTGTAGTTCTCTTTCTCTATTGTTGGCTTTGGTTTCAATTTTAGTGAGATTTATGTGTTTATTTACAGATTTACATAGTAGAGAAGAATTAATGGTGATGATTGTTGCAATCGAAATATCTATGTCTATTCTGTGCCAATGATTTTAATCGGATTTTGTTTTTTTCAATGAAGACCACAAAATTGAAGTAAATGAATTGGGCACCAATTTTTTTTTAATGTTTATTGTCTTTCTATTTTATAGAAAATGTGAAAAATTATTGGGAATTCAAGATTTTTATTATAATATTAGATTTTTGTATAACCAACTAAATTTGAAACTTTTAACTTCTTTATATTTATCTTCTTTCTATCCCATTATACCATTACTATTATTTGTTAGTTCGTTAATCATAATTCAATTATTTGAAAATTTTATTTGCGAGCACTAAAAGTTTTATGTAAATATTAATGAAGAGAGTATATTGAAACATAATCTTCTATTGATAGACATTATTGAAAAAAAATATATAATAATAATAATAATAATAATAATAATAATAATAATAATAATAATAATAATAATAATAATAATAATCGCTCTAAGTCTCGAAAGGGTTCGGATCCACGAACTTAGAGACTTACTTGAGCCCGGACTCGAAAGGGTATTGAGCAAGCCTAGAGATCCGAGGCACTCGGACTCGAAAGGATTCGGATCTATGAATCTAGAGATCCGAAGCACTTGGCTTCGAATGGATTCAAATGCAATCTAGAAGTTGCTCCGTTAATGAGTCCCAAAACACTTGCGGGCTCGGAGCTTTCCGGAATCTACGTACCAGAACCATGGGCGTAATGGAGTCTGAACAAAGGACCCGATCCCGAGGATGGTGAGTGGAGATAAATTCACTCTTCGGTTAAACTAGCCTATACCTGGGTCGAGGTGGCACGATCTATGGGGTCTCTGAGACTCGGCAATGTTTGCGGTATGGCGTTCTCTTGAACTACCCCTGACCCTTATGCGGCAGGACGTCCTCTGGGACTACCCCTGACCCTTTGGGATGATTAGGGATCATTGGTTAGGTGTGGCTAAGAAGAAGGGTTCGCCGAGGGGTTGATCTTCTCTTCGGGGTTTTCCTCATCCTCGAAGATGTCACCTCCTCGGACAAGGTGGTTAGAGAGAATATTTCCCATGTGCCTTGCACATGGGCTCCATCTTACATCATGATATGCCTATAAATAGCACCCACCCATAGCTTTACAAGCGATGAATTTTTGAGAGGAAACTCTTGGGAAATAACTAATTTCCCTTCTCCATTATCAACCTTGAGAGTGAAAGTGGGAGATCCATGGGAGAACCTTGCCATTATTCTCTCTCTAGCTACTTTGTCTTCTTCTGCACCCAATCTCTTATCTCCATCATCTCCTTTCTTTTGTGTTCTTAGTTGAGACTATTGAAGAATCTAAGCCTCTCATCATCTTCTAGAGAATTCGAATTTTCCTTCAAAGATCTTCGAAAATCTTTGAATTTTCTAACGACGTTCTTGAACCCCCTCATACAGCTGGTTTGTGTAGTTTTCATAATCCTCTCTCAAATGCTGTCAAGAAAAAATAAAAATAAAAATGAAGAAAAAAAATTCCACTTCCACACTTCTACTCTTCCACAAGGTTGTCAAATTTTTTTTTTTTTTCTTTTAAGTTTATATGAGAATTTTCACTTCAATTTTTTTTTTTTAAACTTATTTAACAACATTTCCTTATCACAACAACCTATCTCTTCCTATTTGTTCGGCTTCATTTGAAGAATTTTATAACTTCCTATTTTTTTCTATATTTTTATTTTGTTTTATTTATCTTCCACAACCTCCTCATTATTTGTGATGCATGTCACTACAGAATTTGAAAACCCCACATATAAGAGCAGATGAAGGAGATTCCATAGCAAATACAAACACAAGAGAAATTATATATGTAATTGTGATTTGTTTTATTATGCACGTGTTTTAATGTGTTTTCGTGATTATTGATGATTTTAATTTCAAATAGAGGTTAAGTTCATATCTACAAAAAAGTGATAATTTTTGTGAATTGAATAAAATTTTGGGACTTCAATCGAAGAAGTCTACTGCAAAGGGAAAGCTCATCCAGATCAAGGATTGTTCAAGTCATCTGAAGTTTCAGGGAAGGACAGTGGGACAATCAAGGGTGAAGAGGCAATAGAAAAGCCCAACTATTAAACTAGTTATTCATGAACAATTCTATAAATACTAACACTCGTATGAAAAGTACAAGAGGCTAAATATAATTGGATGTTAAAAAAGATAATAATACTTAGTCACCCAATAATGCTTGGACATATGTGCTTTTAGTAATATTTGTAGCATTGCTCTTTGTTCATTAATTTCATTTCTTTATAATTCTATACTTTCAAATTTACAAATAAATTTTATTAATGAGAAAATAATAATAAAAAATGAGTGTCATAATTATTATTATTTTTTTTGAATAATTTGTTACTTTATTCTATGCATAGCACGGGCTAGTTCAACCTAAGCAAATGGTTATAGTTTCACTGATTAGGACTTGTTAGGCCATTTAATTAAAAAAGTCATACATTTTTTTTAAAAAAACTCTTTAATAATTTTTTTTTCAAATGAGTCAAAAAAAAAAATTATTATTATTTCTCCGTTTTGTCTAATGTAGAAGAACTAACAAAATAAATAAATAAAAAATTGGGAAAAAATCAATAAAAAAAGTCCACTAAAGATCCCATTTTGACCTTTTTTGTGTGCGTGTGTGTGTCTATATTAAATTATTTTAATTTTTTAACTTTTATTTTAAATTTTATGATTTTTCTAATCAAAGGTATCAAATAAAAAAATAGAATAGGAAATTAGATATATACCATTGCTCTTTGCACTAGGCAAATATAAACATTAATCATTTGCAAAGATGGTCAAATTTGAATATCAATTTTTTTTTTTATATGGTCTGATCTGTTAATATAAAATATGAAAATAATGGTCTGTAAAATCAAAGCAATAATAAAATCAACAGGTTCAAAATAACATCAATTAAGCTGGTTTAGTTAATTACTTTTGTATATTCATATCAAAGAGATGAAAGGATCGATTATTATCAACGGCAAAAACATTCGGTGGTGTTAATTGGTCTTCGGCTATATATTATTGGACTACAATAAGTGACAAAAAAAATATAAATATAAATATAAATAATGTATATGTATTAGTTGAATAAAGATTTAATTAAACATTGGCAACGGCAGGGTGTTTTTTCACTAAACCTCCATAGCTGTTGGTGAAATTTATTTATTTTGCTTTTTTGATTTATAATTTTTTTTTTTTTTTTTTTCAGGAGTGGCTATAAAAAAAAAGTAATAGCATTTAGTGAATTTTTTTTAAAAAAAAATTTCAAATTTTACATTTTTAAAGTATATCTGGATTATGTGAAAGAGTAAAAGAATTTGGTTAAAATATTAAAAAAAAAAATACAAATTGAAAACTCAAAAAATATTTTTGAAAATTTCAAAATCAAACAGAGTTCAAAATTCATTTTTGTGTAATGTTTTTTTTTTTCATTTGATTAATGAAAAAGTGAAATCCTTGTTATTAAAATATAAACGCCATGGAATGTGTGACAGCTTTATAATAACAATTGATTAATAAATTTAAGCCAAAAAAAACATGTGATTCAAATGTTTGAAATTCTTATTGATATGGGAATCAAATTTCACAATAACTTCAAAAACACTAAAAATAATGCATAGTGATAATAAATAATACTTTCTCACTCTTTTTTTTTAAAAAAAAAATGTATTCTATAAGGTCCTCTCATGCCTATATATAGCATAAATCTTGTACTTACGTTCACAAAAACCATATCACAATTCATTCTTTATAGCCAAAATGTTTGAACAAACCATCTCAGACTCCGACTTTGCTCTTCTCGAATCGATCCGTAGGCATCTTCTTGACGAATCCGACGTTTCAGAAAATTTTCCGGTGATGCATCCATGCAATGCACCACCGGTTTATGACTTGAGTTCGAGTTTTACTGCTTTTTCTTTTATCGAGAATTGCCAAGTAATGCCATTAAATATAAATAGGTCAACCGAGACAATGATCGGGTTCGGAGTGAAGGAGGAGGAGGCCGTGGGGGCACGTGAGGATCACGTGCCCCCAGAGTGGAGGAAGTATAGAGGTGTCAGGAGGCGGCCATGGGGAAAGTTTGCAGCAGAGATAAGAAACCCTAAGAGGAAAGGTGTCAGGATCTGGCTCGGGACATACGAGACGCCCGAGGATGCTGCGCTGGCTTATGACCGAGCCGCTTTTAAAATGCGCGGCTCGGGTGCTAAGCTTAATTTTCCGCACCTTATTGGCTCAGATAACTCGGAACTAGTTAGAGTGACTCCGAGGCAACGAAAGTCACCGGAAACTTTGGCGCCATATTCTTCGTCGGAAAGTGATTCTCCGAAGCGGAGGAAAAGCCAGGTTGGCTCAGTATTGGCCGTTAAACCTGAGTTGGAAAGTGTTAGTGTTCGAAATGAATGACTATAAATTTAGTGTAATGGCCACACTATGTTATTATAGACACGTCAAATAATCAACCAATAATAAAATAACACATAGAAGAGTGAACTCAGTGCATGTAAAATAGGATAAGATCCCATTTAAGTGGTCACATTAGTTACTTGTAAAATGTGATAAGATCCCATGAATTGTAGTTTGTTTTAAATTTGGATAGGTCACAAGAAAAAGAAAAAGATGTTTTCAAAATGATTTGTCTCCAGCTTATATTTATGGATTGGACAGTCAAGTATTGAGACGCAGTTACAATGTATTTGATTACTTGAAGGGTAAGTTTTATAGATCTTGAAATTAACGAGGAGGGACACTTCGTGCGTGTGGTTTCTTGAGATTTTTAATTCGAGATTTTAAATTCTCAGGTCTTTACACTTTTTTAATCAATCTCTTGAGCTTTTATTATTTACTCTACTTTTTAATGATTCAACTAATTAATTTACTAAAGTTTTTATGTGAAGATCGTTCATAAAAATATAAAAAAATAAATAAAAGAGAGAGAGAGAGAGAGAGAGAGAGAAATATAAGAATATTAATAATGAATTGACAAAAAAATTCAAATGAATTTGATAATTGTTGTAACATTTTTCTATCTAATTAAACTTCCTAAAAAAAAAAGTGGTGAGAATGATTTTTAAAATAAATAATTATTTTTTTAAAAACAAATATAATGAATATTAAATTAATATAATTTTTTAAAATAATCTAAACCCATATACTAGCCAAAATAAATGGATTAAATTATCATGAGGCAACTGTCCAGTCTACAAATGTGAACTAGATTCAATTTTTTCTCATTTTCAAAATAAAAAATTAGAATATATCATGCTCTCATTTTCTAACATTAAAATGATATAAATTTGACTGTTATGCTTGAGCTCATGGCACACTGATCCCATTTCGATAATTTAAATAATTTATTTTGTAAGACTTTTCTGTACATCATTCATAAAAAAATAAAAAAATAATTTTACGGATTCGGTAATCATAATATTTTCATTTTATTGTGTTTGCCGACAAGTATATTTTTAAAAATAAATCATCTATTTAAAAAAAAATGTGATAAAATAAAAAGTTACAATTTCCGAATCAATCTAATTTTTTCATAAATTATATATACGGATGACCTTATAAAATAAACAATTCAAATTGTTGCAATAAAATCCATATATAATGGTCTTACAAGTTCAAATATGACGATCAAGTTTATATCATTTTAATTTTGTTATCAATTGTGGTTTCGTTGATAACTTATGGTATGCTTTAGAGTTGGGTATGAGTTGCAGTAACTACAAATAATTGTACTTTAATCAATGTTTTCTTGTGTTTGCAATAAAATAGAGAAGTTTGGGTATCGGGTGTTTACCAATTTTAAATTGTTTTTTTTATTGGATTTAGTTCCACGGCCAGGTGGTGTGGAGTAGTTAGTGTTGTCCTCTCTCTCTCTCCCTCTCCCTTTAGGGTGGTATTAGGTGCATAAAATAGTGGGAAAGGATATGGGAAAGAATGAAATGTGTAATTTGCCTTTGAAAAGGAGTCACATGGCATGCACATGTATACTTTTTGTGAAAAACTTTAATCGGTATTATTGACCGGACAAAAATATTACAAAATTAAAAATTTAATGTCAAAATCAAATTAATTAAAATTATAGAGATTAAAATAACACATATGCTAAAGTACATAAACTATTAGTGCAATCTTTCATTAATGTGTTCTGAAAGTATATTGTGTGACTTAGATTTAATTGAAGTGTGACTTCCATTAGATCTAAGTTAAATCTCAAATTCTTTTGTGTGCTTTCTTTTAGGGTTGGGCTCCTCTTGAGTCGAGTTCTTATGATTGAGCTCATCTTAAGTTGACATCTGGACTGGATGATGTTGTCCGTCAATTATTCGAATCATTCATCTTATAGGACCCTACATAAATATCATTCATGAAAAATTTAAATTGATTTGATAGTCGTAATCTTTTTATTTTATCGTATTTGTCTAAAAAAAATAGATTGGAGACAAATGCGATAAAATGAAGAGACTATGACTATCAGATTGACCTCGTTTTTTTGCTAATAATATATACGAAAGGTCTTACAAAATAAATTATTTAAATTATCGAAAAGAACATGTGATGAGACCGAATAAATTTTGAATTGGAGGGAAACCAAATTCTTTTATTTTATTCTATTTTTTTGTGGGTTTGGGTGTGTGTGTGTGTGTGTGTGTTTTTTTGGTACTCTTGCATGACTAGCTAGGCACTAATCCGTTTGATTTAGGATTTTAGAACATGCAATATGTATATTTTCTCATAGATAAAGACAGATGAAGAAATCATGTGTCAAGTGGATTTAATTAATTTATTATTCAGTGGTAACTAGTTTATTATATTAAATTTTTAATCACAAAATACACCCAAGATTTTATCTTAGTGACAAAGTAAACCTTAAATTAATTTTAGAAGATGACAAACCATTTGGAATATTCTAGTAGAGCCTAATAAAGCCAACTAGCTTTTACCACTTAATTCAATAAATCTGATTGTTTTATTCATATACCTACCTACTACTAATGGGAATTCATTTTTATTTAATTAATAAGCATGTTTCATTTTTGTTTGAAAAAAAAAAAAAGGCTTCTTTCAATTTTATTTTTCTCATTAAAAAAAGAAAAAAAAAAGAAAGAAAGTCAAATGTCAGGTGGAGCCATAAAATGTCATTGTTGTTAATCTATTCATACTACAAAAACAAAACAAATTTAAGATTTGACAATCTCTATACAAAAAATTCAAGATTTTACAACCTCTTCATAAAAATAAAAATAAAATAAAATAACTATTTTGTTTAGTCAAATTTTCAAGTGGAGACAAATGGTATTGTTGTTAATTTATTCATACCATATTAAATAAATAAATAAAATTATTTTTTTTATCTTTTAAGAATGGTGTATCATACGTCTGTAAATAAATTGAATTCATATTAGATTCAGTTAAATCTAATTTGGTCAAATTAATCATCCATTTGAATTTAAATTTGAGTTTAATTGATCGAATAATGACAAGATTTGACAATCTCTTCATAAAAATAAAACAAAATAACTGTTTTGTTTAGTCAAATTTTCCAGTCGAAACAAATGGCATTGTTGTTAATTTATTCATACTGTATTAAATAAAGGAAAATTTACCCATAATTCCTAGTTTCTGAAAAGTTGAACCATTTAGTCCTAAAAGTTTTCTTATGCTCCATTTAGTCCCATTTGCACATCAATCTAATGTTCGAAACATTAATTTGATGTTCGAAAGGTAATGTTCGAAACATTAATCTGATGTTCGAAATCTAATGTTCGAAACATTAATCTGATGTTTGAAACATTGTAATGGGACCTTTCAGTCTATAAGAAAACTTTTAGGACTAAACAGTGTATAAGTTATTAATTTGAGATTTATTGGTGCATCCCCTTAAATAAACAAATAAATAAAAATTATTTTTTATTTTTTAGGAATGGTGTATCATAGGTCTGTCACTAGATCGCATTCATATTAGACTAAAAAAAAATCTAATCTGATCGAATGAATCATCCATCAGAATTCGAATTCGAGTTTAAAAGATCCAATAACGACTGTTGACATAATTCTTTTTGTTTTTTTCTTTTTTGCATTGTTAGATACTAACCTGCCAAACACAACTAACACTTAGATCTTTTTAGCTCATCATAGTAGAGCATGCAAAACACAATAGACTTTGTTGCACATAATATTAAATTTTGGATGGGATATATAATCGGATCGAATCAGATCGGATTTGAAAATTTTAAAAACTCTTGAGATAGTGATTTGTGATTATGATTCAATTTAAAACAATGAATAGCAATTTTAATCAAATAATCAATGACAAATCGATACAACGATACAAAGATTCAATGTAGAAAAAACAATTATTGGACTCCTCCAATTGTGATAAAAAATCACAGATGAACACCACAAAACCATCCATTAAGAAGAGAAAAAGGAATTATACACGAGAACTCTCAATTACCTAGCAAATCCACGTTCGAATTGAACCGAACTCGGTGTGTCTCTTCCACCACCGTCTTCACCTCGGAATCGCTTTGCTCAGCATCGAATCCATAACGTTGATGTCGAATCCATAACGATGAGTCACTCTTGAATTCACTAAAGTTTCAAGTTCAAGTTCAAGTTCCTCGAAATCCACCGATGAAGAAATCGACTTGAATTTATCCAAATCCACTCTATTTAAAATTAAATCAGACAGATTCAAATGTGATTGGATAGTCAAATTGAATTTTGTTACACATATAATATTAATTTTCCTTGAAATTTGAAAAAAAAATATATTGAATCCAAGTTTGGCAAAAGACATCGACTTTTTTATGGTAAAATTAAAGCAGTTAGAAGATGGTGTAAAAATGCATGAATAAATAAGATAAAATATATATTTAAGTATAAAGAAAATGATAATATTATTTTTTATTTATTTATATGAATTATTTATAAAAAATAATAAATAAATAAATAAATAAAGGTAATTATTACATGAAGTAAACCTACTTGTGGGTAGGGGTGTGCGCTCGTCTGTTTGGGTTGGTTTTTGGAAAAGGAAAAAATAAAAAAAATAACCATTAACAAACCATTTTTGGAAGGATTGATAATTTTTCAACCTACTAGCAACTCACCCATCCTCAAACCCAACAAGTTGAATATTTTGACAATTTTAAAGTAACACACTGGTAATGATAAAGCTGGTATTCTCCACCTCAAACAATTTCTCTACCAACAGTTTGAGATGAAGGACCTTGGTACTCTTAACTACTTCTTACGCCTTGAAGTCTCTCATGATTCTACTGGTTCCTATTTGTCCCAGGCCAAATATGCATCCGATCTTCTGGCTCGTGCTAGTCTTACTGATTGCAAAACTGCCTCTACTCCGGTTGATCCTCAGATTCGTCTCACTCCTCTCGATGGGTCTCTTCTCTCTGATGCTACTCTTTATCGCCAGCTCGTCGGCAGTCTTATTTATCTCACAGTCACTCGTCCTGACATTGCCTATGCTGTTCACATTGTCAGTCAGTACATGTCGGCTCCTCGCACTCCCCACTATACTGTTCTACTCCGCATCCTTCGCTACCTCAAAGGCACTCTGTTCCATGGTCTTCACTTCTCTGCTTCCTCCTCTCTTGACCTCCGTGCCTTTTCCGATGCTGATTGGGCTGGGGATCCTACGGATCGACGCTCCACCACGGGATTCTGCTTCTTCTTAGGGGATTCTCT